ATTATTTTTAATAAATTCTTCAATAAAATTTTCTTTAAAAAAGAAGAAATTTAAAAAAAGAAAAAATTTGGTTTAAATATAAAAATCTTTTTGCTCCTTAATAAAAAACTTAAAAATTCTTTAAAATGATTTTTTCATTAAAATTTCTATTTTTAAATTAAATAAATTATTTTTAATGAATTTTTCAATAAAATTTTCTTTAAAAATGAAGAAATTAAAAAAAAAAGAAAAAATTTGGTTTAAATATAAAAATGTTTTGACTCCTTAATTGATTTGTTTATTTATTTATTTAGTAAATTAATTATTAATTTTAGTTTATTAATTAAAAACTTAAAAATAATTTTTTTTTAATAAAATTTTCTTCTAAAAAAAAAAAAATAAATTTTTAATCAAATAGATAATTTCAAAGACTTTATTTAAAATCAATCAAAAAAATCTCGATATTTCCTTAATAAAATAAATTCATCTTATTTCAACTCCAGCTGGTTGATTAAAACCAGCAAAATAAATGATCAATAGATCGAAAAAACTTTATCTACAAAAAAGTAAACTCGTAGCGATTTGTTTATCCGCAACCCATCTATCTAAGTCGTTGTTTTAAAACCGTCTATCTTAAATGAATCAACTATTTTCCGGGTACAAAGCTTACGTAAAAAGCAGCGAAACAATTAAATTTTTTAGCGAATCTTTTTATCTAAAACAAAATAAAAGTAAAGTGAAGGCTACTCGTTACCCCTTGTAGTATATTTATATGTACCGCAGTACTTGTGTTTCTTTTAGCTTTGAAACACAACTTGACGTGTCGTTTACAGCGTTTGAAGCTTTGACATTATTGCCGGGGGATGAAAAAATTTTTATAGCGCATCTCGGTCTCGTGAGCTTGCAGTAACTTTCAGTCGGATGAAAAAAGAGTGATAAACGAGGAGAAGGATCAGGATCAGGAGGAACGTGATGTGAGAGTTCAGATGGAAGATGCAAGATAGAAGACATGAATAAGAAGGGTTGCTTGCCGTTGCTACCAAAGCCGCAGTGTCGCCCTCTCATCATATAGATATAAATACGTATTATATAAAAATATATATCAACCCAGGAGTTTCTTCCTCTCCCTCCTCTTGCTCTTTCATCCTTCCAGATCCTATCCCGTGTAATGCACGCACGTAGAATGACGCAAAGCGCATAGCACGGCAAGGCCCGACGTTGACCTACTATTGGGTGGCGGGTCGCAAGCTCACTCTCCCAGATGGGAGACACTATTCCTTCCACCTTATACTTCTGTTCCATTCACTATTTAATTTTCCACCTTCCTTTTCCATCCTTCATCTATACTATCTTTCCGTTCAACCCCTTCGCTTCTATTCCTCTAAAATGATTTTCTGTACATGAATCCATGTATATGTGGCACTTTCACGTTGTGCTGAGAAAGGAGTACAGTTACGTATATAATAATGGATAAAAAAAAACTCCAAAGAAGAAATAAAGTTGAATATCGTATAGGACGGTAACAAAAGCCAAATCATTTGATGGCTCTTGAAAAACTATCTTTTAAAAGGCACTTTTTTACCTTTATCAATAATACCTCAAGAGGCTCCTCCAGAATCATGTTTACCTTAATTCAAATGCTGGAGGATAATTGGCGAGTTTTATTTTTGTTCTTTTACTTTTTTTTTTTTTGCTCTGCTAATTACTTTTACGTGTGTCTATTCTGATAAAATAGCTGATGTGGAAATTTATATCGATGATTTATTGTTTCGGTAATTAAATTTTTTTTTTGAGCTCTCTATGGAAAAAAGCAATTAAAAAATTACAATGTAGTAATAAGAGCTTTTTTTCTAAAAATTAAAAAACTTTTAAAATTAAATTTTTATAAACTTTAAAAAATTATAAAAAAAATTTTTTTTGAGCTCTTCGTAGAAAAAAACAAGTAAAAAATTACAATGTAGTAATAAGAGCTTTTTTATAAAAATTAAATTTTTATTAACTAAAAAATTTAAGTTTGAAAATTGAGTTTTTATACACTAAAAAATTTCAAACTTAAATTTTTATTTTTTGAGCTCTTTATGAAAAAAGCAATTAAAAAATTACAATGTAGTAATCAGAGCTTTTTTCTAAAAATTTTAAATTTGATTTTTTATAAACTCTACAAAATTTCAAATTTAAATTAAAAATTTTTTTTTTTTTAGCTCTCCATAGAAAAAAAAAATTACAATGTAATAATAAGAGCCTTTTCCTAAAAATTACATTTTTATAAACTAAAAAATTTAAGTTTGAAAATTGAGTTTTTATAATTTTTTTTTAGCAAGCACAATTGGAAATTTTTAACAATTTAATTTAAAATAAAAAATAAAAATTATTTTGAACTCTTTAAAAAATTTAAACTAAGCAGGATGATGAGTTATTTTTCTAAGTACTTGGAATGTAACGACTTAGATGCAAGTTTTTAACATAGAAGCAATTCTTCGATCTGATTCAAGACCTGACGTCATAGAGTCCTGCGGGTATGACCTCGATTCACAAAGTCGTGGCAAAAACTTTGTGCCTCTAACGCAACTGGCTATAAGTTACACGTTACAAGTTATAATTATAATAATATTTTATAATAACGTCTTACATAAATTTTGTTTTAATCGCTAAGTAATCTCAGTACAATTATTAATATTTATAAATAATAAATTTTATTGAATATTATTTAAAATAAATAACATTGCAACTCGCTTATATAGTAATCAAAAATGTGCTAAACATCCTATATCATTTGCCAAGCTATTCCTACATTTATTAAATATTATCATTATCATTATAATAATTATTATTATTATTATTATTATTATTTCTCGTCAATTTCCAGTGTGCATAGTTGACTAATTGTAAGTAAAAGTGCTATTTGTCCTGGCAATAATAAATATACAATAATATATTGTTCTGTATCTTGGTGTCGAATCTTCAATACAAGACTAACAATAAATTATTGCTGATTCATTTAATTATTATTATTTATTTTTCCAGATATTTATTTGACTTATTTACACATTTATAATAAAAGTCAATCGATGGTATATATTTTTAATTTTAAATATTTTAATAGCTAAAAACACGCCCGATATATTTAACACGGATGAAAGCTAGTGAGTCGTTATTATTTTTATTTAATATTAAATAGGTGATTTGTCACTTTACATTTACCAAATAAACTAAACAACGTGTACTTATTTATTCTTTAAAACATCTAGTCTTATTTTATTAAATATTTATGTATTATGTATTATATTATAATTATTATTGAGACTGTAAGGTATAAAAACTTGACTTTTTAATTAATCATGACGTTAGTAATGACGTGCTTGACATTAATTTCTTCTTTAAAGTGTACAATCAATTAACTATACAAGCAACAATTATTTTTATCAAATAATTAAAACCATACTCCGTTGTTTATTATTATAATTTATAATATTCATTAGTTAACTATTAAGACTAGTTGGAAGAAACAAGCGGGCTATGTAAATTAAACGCATCACAATTTTAAACAAAAAATAGCCTTATATAAATGTCTCAATTTTTTTATAATTTTATAAAATTTATTTTATCAGCTTATAAATTACTGTCAAAAAAATTTTTTGTAGTACTACACGAAAATAAAAAGATGACACTGGATGTCATCTCAGATTATACTGAGTATGATCCAGATTAAAATGAGTATAATCTGGATATTTTTAGCTTCTATATGAAATTTTTTTTCACCTCATTTTTTTTCATCACAATAAAAAAAATCCAGATTATACTGTGTGATATCTGGATTATACTCAGTATAATCTGGGATTATATCCAGTGTCATCTTATTTTTTCCGTGTATAAATATGCAAAAAAAAATTTTATAAATTAAAACATGCAAGTCAGTTTGATAATTGATAAAAATAAATAGATGTACATAATTTTGTTATATAATGCAAAATATACTAATGACATGTATGATTTTATTAGAAAAAAAGAATAAAGAATAATAATAATAATAATAATAATTACAATACGGTCATTTGCAGATCAGATAATTGCGTAGTAAGTAAAGTTGTTGGTTTGTTAATAATAATAAATTTCGTCGATATCAAATTAATAGAATAGTTATTGAATTTAAATATTTATTTATTGGTTTTTGCTTAATTAAATTAACCAAAGCTATTAATCATCAAACACAAATAACTATGTCAAAAATGATATATTTTGGTTATCTGTCTCTGTGATGTTCAGCTGATCAACACTTTATATACACTGTTTAATAATTAATTAATTAATAAATTGATAAAAAAAAATAATCATTAATCGGGCTAGATTTCTCAGAGCCTCAAATATCAACACATACTCATCGTTCGATTACACAAATATAATCAACTAATTATTAATAATAATAGAAATAGATCATGTCGAAAGATCAACAATAATCAACATATTTTTTTCTTATTAAATTGGCGACATTTACTTTTTTATCATTTTATTATTCTTAATATACTTATTCTGTCAAGCGCAATTTATCAATTTAATATCTTTTCTCTCACTTTAAATATACTTTTATTTAATTACTTTTAATATTTTGTTTAAAACTTTGATCCTAAGCGATTTTTAATTTTTATAGTGAATACAAAAAAAAACAAATTCGATCAATAAGTTTCCTTCTCTTCTTACTACTTTTATTAATCAAACAATGTTAAAATAAATAATAATAATAGAAATTAAATCAGAATAAAAAATTAAAGTCTGGTAATAAAAATAAATTTATAATTTTAAATCTAACAAAAAAAAATTAACCTGCTGGATGATAATTACTTTTTAAGTGGATCGTTGTGCTACTAATTTTAGTAACATATTTTTTTTTAAGAGAAAATTAAATAAATAGCGAATTATAATGAAGTTGCGATGATAGTAAAAATAAAAGGAGAGAAGGCTAAATAAAATATATTTGGGATAAACGGGTGCGCTGAGGATGTATACACGTTGGGCAAGAGAACTGCTCAGATTAATTTTCCGAAGAAATAACCAATTATCAAGACAACAACCGCTGCAATTGCTAGAGTAGGTGTCATATTCAATAGTTGTGGATTACTACGTTCTAAAGACCCAGATGTCATTCGTCCTGACGTAATGTTTCCACCCTTTTCCATATTTCGGTATCTCATTAGTTCTTCCTATTTTTTTTATCAATAACAAATACAATATAAATTAATTTATACTCACTAAAATAAATAAATTATTGGATCATAAAATAAATTACCTTGAGTTGAAGACATTCCTGCCTCAAATTACTTTCTTCTACCCTCAAATGATTAACTTCTGCAGCGGCTTTCATTAACTTTTCTTCGTACTCGATAAGTTGCTGTAAAACAAAAGTTAATTAATAATATAATTATTATATAAAAATAATATAACATTTAACGCTCTTTACTTCATTTAATTATCGATTAAGAGTGTGGCTAATAATAAATATTATAATTATAATAATTAATTTACTTTGTCAGTCGGTTTAGCTCCATCACCAGTGGCTTTATTTTTTCCATTAACTGTACTGGGCTCGTTTTTAGACTGAGTTGGAGCAGCTGACACTTTTCCGGATGTGTTACTGCTAACTGGGTTCTCAAACACGCACTTTAATTTGTACTCCATAACCAAATCCTCATTGATGTCTTTCCACTAAAAATGTGTTAGAAAAAATCAAATACAAGCTTACTATTATTATAATCGATAAATATATGAATAAATATTTACCACATCGTGGACACAGTCGTCATTGTCACCCTCTTGTGCTATAACTGTTTGTACCATGAACTTGTGTTTGTTTTTTTCATTTGGATCAAACTCATATGGTTGTAAACAAACTAAAAGAAAAATAAAGATTATTAAATTTGCTATTTTTTTTTCTTCGTACAGCTTTTATTTAACTCTCATAAACTATGTGTCTTAAAAATTGAAATTACATCAACTTATAAATAATCTATATTATTAAGAAAGTAAGCGAAATTATGTGGCCAGCATATTAATATGATAAAAAGGGTTTTATGATTAAATTTGGTATCCTTGGAAAGGTCTTGACCTAGAGTTATACCTTTTCCTGGTTTTATATCATTCTGACCAATAGTTAATTTATAATTATAGGTATTTAGGCTTCATTCAAAAATGCTCTATCTCTAGATACAAGAAATGACCTTGTAACTTGTGAACTATTGACATTTTTAAGGATATAAGCTCATTCCGATGTTACACTCATCAAGACCTTTCATTTGAGTACCCATATCAATTTTTCATATATTTTATATATTTATATATACATATATATGTATATATGAAAAATATATGAAAATGCATGTGGGTACTCAAATGAAAGCTCTCAAGAAGGTATAAATTATAATTAATATTTGATAGGTAAAATACTCTAAAAACAATAATAATAATAATCAATATTATAAAGAGAATAAGCAAAATTTTGTGGCCAGTGTACTAATATGATAAAATGGGTTTTCATGGTCAAATTTGGTATCATTGGAAAGGTCTTGATAAGAATTAGTGCCTTTTGGTTTTATATATTTTTTAGGTCAAGTTTTTGGAAGAGTTTTTAATAGTTTTTTGGTTCTATAAATTTGTTCGGTCTCATTTGTCCATTAAATTATTTTTAATTGATCTTTTGATAGCCCTATTATTTTTAAAATTTATTTAAAAAGTCCCCAAACTATTAGTGTGATAATAAAAAAATCATTAAGTCAAAATTTTGTTATTCATAATTCATAAATCTCGGAAGTCGCATAGTTGCTACTAGTAATTTACATAAATAAATTTAATAAATAACAAACCTGCTATTTCAGTAACTTCTTTAGCTTTGAGTGCTCCGCTGTTTGGTCTTACGCAGTATCTCTTTGGAGCAGTAGTCTTTATTTTAAAATATACTTTTTGAGTTGTTGGATTAATTAACTTTATGTATGATGTGACTGGTGAACCTGTAAATGGGCCTATAAAAAAAAAGTAAATAAATAAAATTATAATTAAATTACAAACTTGAGAAAATTTTAAATTTCAACTAAATTATTTGGACATACGCCAGATGTTACTATATTTAATTAATTTTAATAGCAAACAATAAAGCTTTGTTTAAAAAAAAAAAAATATTTACATCTATCAATAAATAAATTTCATTACTAAACAATAAAATAATATTCAAGTCCGCACAAGGTAAATTAAATCTCGTTACTTAAACCGTATTAATAATTAACTTTAAACCTAGATAATATCTAGAACATTTAATATCAATAGCTTTATAAATTCTAAATATAAATGTTCAATTAAAATGCTAGCATAATCTATATTTTTCATTGAACAAATTCCAATAAATTTGTCTAACAAAATTATCGTATTATAAATAGACAACTGATCACTAAAACCTGTCAGTTTAATATTATCAGTCATAAATATCTCTCATTAATTACTCAGGTAAATAAAACCCACAATACCAATAATTATTATTGTTAAAATGCAAAGTCATGTATTGTGATAAATTACCGGTTAAAAAAAATTTAACCCTCGATTTTATAAAAAAAAATTTAGTCACTTAAATAAATTTTAAAATAATAATTACTATAATTAATAATTTAACTTGGATCGATATTTATAAAATTATTTTATAAAATATATATTAGAATAGAATAAAATTTACTAGAATAAGAAAACTCTAATAAATCGCCATGACACATTTTTTTTTCACATCATGACCATCATCTTATCGACAATACATGCCGTAATATACTTCTAATAACTAAAACAATAAAAATAATTGACAAATAAAACACCCACCACGGAATCTTAACTCGCCCTGAGGTTCGATAGTTAAAACTTGCTCCGGCTTGGTCATTTTCTTCAGAATCTTTGAAAAAAAAAAAAAATTATTAGTTAGTTTCTCGTGAATCACCAACAGTTACGATCTTCAATGTCTTACAATATTTATCTATACCTATATACCTATGCCTATAATATATGTACATACATTCTTATATATGTACTCAATACACAGACATAAATATATACATATAAATTTTTTTTTCTTACATATATACTAAATACCTATATGTATAATAAAAATATATAGATATACCGCGTGAATATTTGTAAAATATGTATTTTTTGTGTCTGCTGGTTTTATTGACACTGAATTATTTTACGTTTTATATTACATACAGTTGCAATTATTTTTTATTATTATTATTTTATTACTGTAACAATAACAAATGTCAAAAAATGAGCCTGTGATAAATAAAATATTCAAGTTGATAATAGACTCGCACTTATTATTTTCCAACGATTCCGTTAAAACTAATTCTCTGATTTCGCTCAGCCTTCAACACAAAAATGTATGTAATCCTAGGTACGCATGCGTCATCAAGGAAATTAACACACTAACGTTCGTTTTATGTGTACATACTAGTTACGTCACTGTCGCCATTACTACGCAAATCATTTCAATTACTTTTATTCCCACTAATCTTTCCAATTCTTGTAAAATTAACCAACAAAAAATACCTTAATTTTACATGAAAATAAAGTTAGCCTTCTAAAAATTTTTATGATTTTTTTTATTAAAAAAAAATTTTTTCATTTGTTAAAAACTTCAAAAACTATAAGTGCAATTTTTTAAAAATATTTTTTAGTTTTTAATAAATTAAGCAAAATAAAAAAATTAAAAATGTCGGCTAACTTTATTATTATTATTTTTACATCTAATCACTAAAAGTATTTACCTGTTTTGTCAATTACCAGGAAAAAATGTCTCCAAATTTTTTTCAGTATTCTTAAAAAATTAAATTAAACTTTGAACTAGTTTTCAGATTTTATTAAAAATTATAATTGGTACTGAAGTTAGCTGACATCTGATGATTTTTTTTAAACAAATAAATTATAATTAAAATTTTCTAAAAAATTTCACTTTTAAAATTTTATTATAATTTTTGAAAAATTATTTTTTTAATAGTAATTTATTTATTGTAAAAATAAAAAAAAAATAACAGATATTTATGACATTAATTTTTAATTTTTTTTACCAAACAAATTTGTTGAAAAAAATTATTTAAAAAAAATTTTTAATTTTTAAAAATTTTTACATGTTAATTTTTTTTGTTATAATTTATTTGTTAAAAAATTTTTAAAATAAAAAAATGTCTGCTAAATTAATTTCCGTCAGATGTTTGCTAACTTTAGTTTTATATTATAATTATTACCTGACGCTGTCAATATGTGCCTCAAATTAAAACTGCTGGCCAGATAAGAAAAAATTTCAACGGTTAATTTTGAAATCCCAGCTGACAAATCCAATTGGTTAAAAAATATCTGGTGAGTTAAATTTTTCTAGCAAACAAGAGCTCCAATTGGTCGAAATTTATAACTAACCACAACAGTTGGCCAATGAGAATTAATCTTTAGGTATAAGTAGAGAACAAAGCACGTGTTTGTAGTTTGAAGCTCCTGGTGCTGGTGTTCCTGTTACAGTTGCTAAGTGATACTGGTGTAAACAATAAATAATTATTTAAAGTTATTGATACTTTGCAACAATGAGTACCACGAACTATTACCCTCATCCGAATACCAATGCGGACATATATAGAAACATGACAGCCGCTGATAGGCCACCTGTTCTCGGTAAACACTTACAGTTTGTGGCAGTCAATGGTAAGAGGTTATTTTTTTTTTATTAATGTTTAATGAAAAATTAAATGTTGATACTTAGAAATTGTTTGTTATTTTTAAAAGATGACAAAACTATCGTGGGAGCAAGCAGCTTGACAGATCGCTACTGGTCCGGAACTGTGTGGTATTTCAACGGAGCCACGAGCTTGGACAGAAAAAATGCTTACGCGGTCACGAGGACTGAGAGTACTATTTGTGACGCAGCTTTTTTAGATGATAAAAAATTTCTAGTCGCCGAAGACAGCGGGGTCATCCAGGTACTTGAGGTTATTAAGGCTTCTGAGACTTTGACTCCGGGGATTCAGTGTACTGGCTATGTGTGTCAGCATGATGACAGTATTACTTCGTTGGCTGTCTTTGATAACAAAACTCATTTTGTTACTAGCTCAATGGACTGCTGGTAATTTATTTTTTTTAAACATATTAAATGATATTGAATATTATTTTTATTTTACAATAAAAATTTATTTAGCAGATATTTAATAACTTTAATCATTTTTTTGACAAATAAATTATGGCAAAAAAAATCAGACATAGATATTTTAAAAAATTAAAAATGCAATTTTTTAAAAATAATTTTTTTTTTAACAAATTTGTTTGTTAGAAAAAAAATAAAAAAATGGTCAAATTACTGCTAACTAATGTAATTATTTTACAGTATAAAAGTGTGGCAAATATCTGATTTATATGCCGAGTATACATATTTAAATGCTCATGACAGTACGATAACTTGCGTTGATGTAATGCCGAAGAATGACTGGATATGTGGATCAACTTCACTAGATTGCGAAGCTATTCTCTGGGATTTAAGACAGCCCAAACCTTCATCATGTAATTTTCATACTTATTACTAGGCTAATTCTTCGATTTCTCTGTTGAATAATTAGACCATATTAATTTAATAAAAAAATTTTTAATCTTGTTTAGGTTTACATAAAAAAGAAGGAAACGGTTTGACATCATTAGCTTGGGACAAAACAAACGAAAATAATGTAGCAATAGGCTCACAAAGTGGAAGCGTCTCTTTAATTGACATTCGTTCACCAGATAATGTCATCTGCGAGATAGCTGTATTTCCTCGACAAGTCCACAGACTCAGATATCATCCTGAAAAGTAAAAATGCAATAATTTCGAAAAAAAAAAAAAAAATTTCTTATTTCTAAATTTATTTTTTTTGTAGAAATAATTGGCTTGCTGGCTGCTGTGATGATACGGCGGTAAAAGTGCTGGACCCAACCCAACACTTGAGCTTAATTTACCAAGACTTCCGTCACAAAGATTTCGTTCGTGGTCTCGCTTGGCGTAAAGATGAATTATTAACTTGCTCATGGGATGACACAATATTAAATCATGAAATTTCGTCTCTCGATCAGTAAATTAAAACAAACCGCGCACTGTCGTTGAATTAATATAAATAAATTGTCTTACATTTATTTTCATAGATAAAAATAATAACAGTTTATAAGTACAAACAAGTACTTATATAGGATAAGTTTTAAATAATTGTTCATTGCTTTTTAAATGAGCGGTGAATTAAACTCCAATTAATTCATTTTCAACAGGTCGATTTCACGTTATCTTTCAAATAGTTTATATTAATATTAAATGGCTTTTTTATTAATTATTAATAACAATCTTCATCCATCCAATAATCTTTGTCTTAGGAAATATTTAATGAGTATTAATTAATGAATTTATTACTTATTAAATTAGTTACCAAAAGCTATTCACAACTCACAGCAGGTTTTTTTTATATATTTGTGTTACTTATATTCCTTTTTATACTTTTTATATAATTATTTGTTGACAATTAATTTAAAAAATCCCATTCCATTAAATTAATTTAATTGAATTTGTTAATTATAAAAAATGATTGTATTTTGAATATAGGATTAATAAACAAAGGAATATTTAATTGTCTAATAAATAATTGTCTTATTTTTTTTTTTTTAAAGAATTTAAAAAAATTCTTTATTAAACTCTACTTAATTGTTGAAAAATAATTAGGGTGAATGAATAAATAATATAAATTGTTTAATATTTATTTTTTTCAACAGTTTTGTGATTTTTGTTTTAACATGGGTATAGTAAAATTTAAATCCTGGCAGATTTTTTTTTAACACACAGATTTATTATTAATGAAAAAAAAAAAAAATATTAAAACTAGTTTCAAAAAGAAAATTATGAAACTATGAAATTATTAACTACTTTTACTTGAATATCATGATTACATAAATGTTTCAAGAATTTCTTAAGCTATAAACATTGGATAAGATTTTATTAAATTTGTAAATAATAAAAAAATTTTTTTCACAATTATCACTATTTCATTTTAGTGATCCCCAATTTTTATTATTTTCTTATATTTATATTTTCATTTATTTATAAACCCCACTTGCCACTTTATCTATCACTATTTTAAGTTGAATGAACACGATTTTAAATAATAATTAATGCATTATGGTTTGTTATTGTGATGCAGTAACGTAAAAAAGATAATCAAAAGATAAAAGATCTTTAAAAATTAATTAGTTAACAATTAAAATTGATTAGTTATTAAAATCTATTGTACATTTGTTTTTTAATGAATGAATCAGTGTCACTTTGAGCACATATTTAATATATATTTTTTTACAATTACGTTAAAACTTTATTCAGCGCGTTTATTTAAAACAAACAAATTTAATAAAAAATAGATTTCTTCTTATTAAAGTTGATGCACAATAAAATAAAAATCTGGATGCAAATGACCCCCAACCCAGATGAGTGTCAATTCTCCAGTACATAAAATAAATTTTTAATAATAAAAATTCCATTATAAATAATTTTAAAAAAAATTTTTTAATTTAAAAAAAAAAATTTAAATTCTAAAAAAGAAATCAAATAAATTAAAAAAAAATGATTTTTATTTAAAAAACACGCGGAATGCATTATTATAGTATTCAATAGTTATTAAACAATGGAACAGTCTTATTTAGGGAGGTAAATTGAAAAAATAGGAGGGACGTTGGGGGGTCATATGCGTCAACAATTTCTTCTTGTTACCATGATTATTAATTATGTACAATTTATAATTCATATTTTACTTTTTTTCTTCTTCTATATCATCATTTATAAATTTTATCTTGTTATCATTCGGCTGTGCAATTATGTTAAATCACAATCGGCAGAATACGCGTACCAATAATTGCCATTTACTCCTTATTAAAATATATATAAAGTTAATTATTAATGTGATTATTATGTCGTCTTTTTTTAATCCCCAGTATTATGCTTCTTTTACAACCAATCTCTTCATTTATCCTTCGTCCATTATGCATAACCGTTTTTTTTTATTTTATTATCTTAATTATCATCCGTATTATTATTATTATTATTATTGTTTAATTCCGTATGATAAACATTCAAACACACACGGAACTTTAATTACTTCCACGCGTTTTCATTGTCATCAGTCGTGATGTCACCATACTGCCAGATGTTGCGATGAGCTTTCTTGGCCTCTGATTGTGCATCCAAGTATTCCTAAAACAATTAATAAAATTAGCTCATAAATAAATAAATCCTTGATTAAACATGTCATTAAAATTAAATAACAAATACTAACAGGCTTAACATAAACTCTTTTTTCTCTGTTGACAAGCAGATATCCATCTTTAACAAGAGCTTTAACAATATCTTCACTAGTTACAGGATCAACTAAAGTTGCTGCTAATACTCCTGAAGATGATTTGTAAACCACTGACAATAACAATGTTTTATTTTCAATATCTTCTTGGAATGCTGTGATAGCAGCTTTTTGATCATCAACCTAAAATCAGACAATTTTTATTAAAATAAAATAAACTACAATTGATAATTATTTACAAGTGGGGTCAAACGTATTTTTGGCCATATCTATAGGTGAAAAATTAACATTTTTTTAATTTTTTTTTTATTCTGTTTCCTTATTAAAAAAAAAGATTTAACCCATACAAAATGTATATCTATATATTTGCCAAGTTGAACCTTTTTTAATCTCTTTGAGCCATTTTGAATCTTTTCAAATCTCTTTTTCTAATCAGGGTTTGTTTCCAAGGCGCATTTATGATAAAAAATGTGAAAGGAAAAAAAAAGATTGTAATAGCTTTTTTTGCCTTTAAAAGTTGGAAAAAATTTTGAATCATGTTTTTGGATAAAATTTCTATTTTATCTTTTTTTGATATATATATTTTGTTGAAAAGTACATAAAAAAAAAACTATCAATTTAAAAAAAAGTTTGAATATCACAATTTTCTAAAAAATTTATAAACTTTTTTGAAAATTTATTAAAATTGTAATAATCAACTTTTTTTTTTTTTAAATTAATTTTTTTATGTATTTAAAAAAAATATAGGGTAAAAGACCCAGTTATTGGACACTTGCAATTTTATTCTAATTTTTAAACAAAAATTAAATGTCCTCAAAAAACCAATTATCTTAAAATTTACAATTCAAAAATTATATTTATTAATTTATTTTAGTCGATATGTTTTATTTAATTAAAATAAAACTGCAAGTGTCAATAACTGGGTCTTTTACCTTAGTCAATTAATGAAATCATTAATTTCAATAATGAATATATTATTTCCAATCTTTAAGACCAGATCAAAAAAAATTTTAACTTTTCTCCAAAAATAAAATAAATGAATGATTCAAAAAAATGGACTCCACTTGTAAATCGCCCTACAATCCATCAAATAATCTCAAAAAAAAAAAAATACTAACATCCTTAGGAAGAGCAACATAAGCCGCAACGAATTCATGAGCGTAGGGTTTTTCCCCTGAAAATTCAGCAGGCAGCGGCGCGACTTGTGTAACATTAACAACCTCACGGTTACCATAATCAACATAGAGTACGCTGATATTAGTACCAGCGACCTTTTCAACCTTAGCGCGGTACCACTCTCCATCCCCAGAAAACTTAGCAGCAACCAGATCCCCACGTTTAGGACTGAACGCCCCCGGAAGAGGAGGATTTTCCTCCAACTCTTGACGTAGTCTCGTCAAGAGCCCCTCAACCTGGTTCTTCTGGTCCACATACTGAGCAAAGAAGTGAAGATCCTCAGTAACCTCCGAAACGACAACTTCACGAGTCTCAACCTTGCGTTCAACAACTTCCTTCTCCTCCTTAACCTCTTCCTCCTCCGGCTCTGCATCAGGCCGGTCCCAGATGTTAAGTTTCTTGGCCTTGGCTCGTTCCTCAGCAGCCTTCAGCGACTTGATGTACTCCCCATGCTCGCTGAAACTGGACACCTCAGCCAATCCTTCTTCAACAAGAGCAACAGACATGTTAACCCCATCAACAAACAGCCAACCAATGAACCCACTGCCTTTAGACTCCATATTATCAACCTGGATTTCAACATCCTTTTGGAAGCACTGCTCCTTCATAAAATTAAAAGCTTCCTCGGCGTACTTTTCACCTTCAATAGTTCCACCACCTGGCTTTGGGCGCGATCTGCGTGGGGCTTTAACTCCAGCGAGCAAGAAGGTTATCAAGCAGTGCTCTTTAGGCAAGAAAAGCTTCAAACGCGAGCCACTTGTTACAAACTCAACGACGGCTTTAGTGCCACGTGTTCTTTTCAACGCAGACAAGTGACACTTGGCTTTAGCAGCGTCGTTCGATAAATCTACTATTCTCTGGGGAGCAGTGTCTTTCTTAGCATGCAAACCATTCTGAGATTTTTCAGCCTTGCTCTCAGCAGCCAGGAGTTCATTATAATGAAGCGGGCGTTGATCATCGTTCTGCTTGTACCTGACAACAGTAGCGAATCCCTTGGACACCATAGCTTCCGCGATGTTGACTTTTCCGACCATAACAGTGCAGCAGATTTTTTCCGGGTACTGATCTTTAGCCGGCTGCGTGTAATCTTCAATAACTTTGACCTGTTTGCGAATTAATTTCTTCCTTAAAAATTCACGAGCGTCATACATGAACGGAATATCGTAAAGAGGTCTAAAGTCCTTGGACCTTGGAGCGTTTTTGTCCTCTCCGGCTTTTTTTTCCCTCTGAGGCGGACGAATGCTACTTAAGAATATTTTTTTAGTCTCGCCATTTTGAGTCCTTACGAGCATTGAATCCGCGCTGGTGATTTCTACCACCACGGCGTTGTACTCCTTCTGGGGAGCTGATGGCTGCCAGTTCTGCCACAGGTGAAGCTTGCGCTCCTTGGCGGCTTTCTCGGCCATGTAGAGCTTGTCAACTCCGGACTTGGTGAAGTTCATGGTCCAATCGACGCACTTGGCGAATCCTTCGCGGAGCAAATGCTCGGCAATGTTACCAGCTGGGTGCAAAATTGTACCGACGAAGTTGTTGTTGTTGGTCGCTTCGAGGATCACTTCTACGTCTCGCTGAAGGATACGTGTCTCGACAAAATACTGGGCTTGTCGGGCGAATGGCTCTTCTCCTTCTGTTTTTATCTGGGGGCACCGGATTCCTGAGAGCATTAAAGTTATGTGGTAAAAGTCGGGTAATAGAAACACTTTTACTGTTGATCCGTCGCGTACGTGCTCGATGATTGCTTTGACTGGCTTGCCATTGTATTTATCCACGAGTGTACGCGGAGTTTCAATGGTCCATTTTACGTCACGGATGTGCTCAGAAAGCGGGCTTCCAGACCACTTTCCTTTTCCAGCTGAACGAGCTGCGTCTTCCAACTCTTGCAGGCGCGATTGAGCCGGGCTTGGGTTACGGACATTATCACGCTTTACTGTAGCTAACCCTTCAGAAACTAGCAACTCAGCAACGTTCTCTCCGGTGTTCTTATCTAGATTAATTAATAGAATAAATTTTATTAAAATTTCATGTTTTATTTAATAATTAATAGAAAAAATATTTATTTTCTTTTTTTTTAAATAAATTCTAATTAATTTTTTAGATTAATCTATATTATGAAGAGTATAAGCTCACCCCGTCATTACACTCATCGAGACCGTTCATTTGAGTACCCACATCAATTTTTCATATATTTTATTATATTACATAAATGTATATATGAAAAATATATCAAAAATGCATGTGGGTACTCAAATGAAAGCTCTCGATAAGTGTAACATCGAAATGAGCTTATATCTTTAAAAATGTCAGTAATAAAGGAATGACCTTGTATCTTGTGAACTATTAATATTTTTTAAGATATAAGCTCATCCCGATGTTACACTCATCAAGACCTTTCATTTGAATACCCACATGCAATTTTGATATATTTTTCATATATACATATATGTAATATATAAAAATATATAAACTATATGAAAAATTGATGTGGGTACTCAAACGAAAGGTCTTGATGAGTGGAACATCGGAATGAGCTTATATCTTTAAAAATGTCAATAGTTCACAAGATATTTGTAAAATTGCACTGTACTTTCTTAAATATTGATATTTTTAAAGATATAAGCTCATCCCGATGTTAGACTTATCAAGACCTTTCATTTGAGTCCCCACATCAATTTTTCATATATTTATATATATTATATATATGTATATATGAAAAATATATAAAAATGCATGTGGGTACTCAAATGAAAGCTCTTGATGAGTGTAACATCAAAATGAGCTTATATCTTTATAAATTTCATTAGTTAAGAAAGTACAGTGCAATTTACAAAAGTAATTATCTAATAAAGCAAAATTTTATTTATTTTTAGTTCACAAGTCGAGGAAGTCACTTGCTAGTGTTATTTAATTTTAAATATTTTCTATTGAAGTATACTACCGACATGTTGATAAATAATTAAATAAATAATAATTACCTTTTCCCAACCAAACGGATCCGTAAACTTTAGTAGCGCTGACAGATTTTTCTTCAACAAAAACCACTTCCTGAGCGATTAATTTTTTACGTAAAAATTCTCTAGCTTCCCAAGCCCATGGCTCGTCTCTGATATCTTCTCCACTGCAATTAAAAAATTTTAATTAACATATTTTTTACATTTATCTAAATTAAAAAAAAAAAAAAACAAAAAACAAAATTTACTTGTTGACTCCTCGACGTCCCAATTTCGGAGCAATGATGTTAGAAAGAGCGATAGTCCTCTCCGGGGGTGGGCCTCCGCGGGGTTGTCCTCGTATCGTAATCGTGTCTCCGGAAACAACCTGAATAAATAAATAAGCAGATTGTTGACACTTTGTTAAAAAAATAAGCTGAGTATTCATTTAATTTACTCAGTCAGCATTTATTTATTAAATCACACGTTCAACGCACTCCAAGAGGTATCTACATACATGTATACATATACATGTATACAATGCCTCAATTGAGCACGTGGCAGTCGAAAGTATGACTTTATATAATAAAAATTTGATTTCGATTGCAAAATCCATTTTTCAACACAAATATTTTAAATATCTTGTCAATTTTGTGTGGTTATATTTTTTTTTTACTCCAAAAATTTTTTTTGACAAACATGACCTAGAAATTTTTTTAAAAATAAATTTAAGATAAATGTAATTAAAATATTGAAATTTATTTAAAAAATAAGTGAATAAATAAATAAATAAATAAAGAAGAAATAAATGTTAAAAAAAGTAATAGATAAAACCATATGTCCGGTTAGATGTGATCCAGCTGGTGAAAATGATGAATAAAATGAGTGAATATTTTTAAAAAAAGTTGTAAATTAATGACTAGTAATTAAAAATGAAAAACATAGCATGCGGTAATAGTAATAACAGGTTAAATAGATAAATAATTACCAATTTAACGATGCCGTGTTTGATATCGTTGCTAGTAGTGCTGTTGCTACTCATGGTGATTGATATATGTTATGAATTATTATTAAAAAATAATTGAAGGATGAATTAAAATGTTAATACAGTACACAGTTGAGGTAAAAATAGATGATATAATTATCAAAATAATAATAATGATAATAATAACATTAATTATAATAATAATAATAATAATAATAGAAGAATAGTATTAATATAAATTTTAATTAAGGAATACGTGGATACTATTTGTTCAAGAATAATTTGGCATGTTGAAATAAAGCAACACACTCCACACTCTTGTATAGAACTGGATGATTTTGTCCGTTCCTCAGTGGCTAGAGGGTATCCCGAGAGGCGAGCGGTGAAGGTAAGTATACTGCACTCTATAGCTTAGTTCGTTTCCTATTCACTCGTACGCACTCGTTGTATCGTTTACCGTCACCACCAACACCACGTAGTACAAAAGGTGAACACGAGCGCAATCTATACATATGCATTCTCCAAACTAAAGCTTGGGCCACGATGCTGATGTGGCAACACGCGACACTCGCCGGTCGAACCTCGTGCCATCTATAATTTATATATTTTTGTTATTTACTAGCTTCTAGGACCTAGCTCTAATTCCTGATACCTCAATTATCATTCCTGGTGATCCAATAACTGGATTATCTTCTTTTAGTTGTTCTACTGCAGATGAGGTTTCAATTACATTTAAGTTACCAGTCACTTGATCATTTTAACAAATTACATTTATAATTTTTTTAACAAATTTTTTCCAAAAAGTTATTTTTAAAAAAATGTATTTTTAATTTTTAAATGTCAATTTTTTTGCCATAGTTTATTACAAAAATTACTAAAATTTAATTAATATATCTAATAAATTAATTGTTATGAGATTTGATCAGTCGATATTACATCTTTATTTTTAATTTATTATTATAGTAATTACTTGATAATTTTTTAATTTTATTTAATAAACAAATTTTTTCTGAAAAATTATTTATAAAAAATTGCATTTATAGTTTTTTAATATTTCTACATGTCAATATTTGTTTTCATTCTTTTTGCTATAATTTATTTGTTAAAAAAAATTATAAAAATTATTAAATACCTGGTAAATTAATTATCGTGATTTATGATACTTGTCATCAATGATTATATAGTTTAAAAAATTATATGATACTAAAATTAGCTGACATTCGACAAATTTTTATTTTTTTTTTAATCCATAAAAATTATAAGTAAAAAAATATTTTTTCAAAATTGTATTTGGAATTTTTCAAATTTTTTTTCTTTAATAAAAAAATTCTAAAAGTTATCAGATTTAATTATTGCAGTCTACAAATTTTAATTTCATTAATTTGCATTCTAAATGACTAAAAATCACTGTAATATATTTTTTAGATGAAAATTTGAACTAGCGATTGACAGATAATGATTTATTAAAAACTTGTCTAAATAATAAATGAAAATTATTGACTTAAACTATTTAAGAGTATTGACAAAAAAAATTATCAACAAAGTTAGATAATATTCTTTATAGTAAAACATTTAAAATTCTGTTTGACATCATACCTATCTAGCCTCGTTATACATTTAAAAAATTGTCAGCATTTTAATGATATTGTTAACAGGAATACGGTTAAAATAAGAACAATTGAGTAATGAATCTGTGGTAAATGATTTAATTGATTAAATTATTTATTAAATAAAATATTATAATTATAAATTTGAACTGTTATGTTTGTTCATTAAATGTTAATAAACTAAACAATCTTGTATAAATACAAGAAATTTTTAAATCAGATAAAAATTTATATATAAATATTTTGAGGATGTATTTTATTTGTTTATCAGCACTCATTTTTAATTGACTTGTATTTCCAAATATAAATTTATAGTCACTGAATCTATTGAAAAATATTACTGAATTATTTAAAAAAAAAATCATTTTTGATTCAAAATAAATATTATTTTATGCACTGTTTATTATATTTGTGTATAAATATACTGATTTCTGTATATATGAATATACACACAGATCACTTTTTATTTAATTAATTTATCATCATTATCATTATAGTTATTATGGAATTTCTTCAAAATTATTAACTTGTTTATATACAGATTAAAGGAATTAAAAATTTTTACCTTTTTTTCAAACAACAAAAGAAAATTTTTTTTTTTTCTTTCAATTAACGTCTTAAATCAATTTATTAGTATACTAATATTAAAAAAGTAAATGTAGCTTCATTGAAAACATTTGAATTACCTTAGTTAACTTATCGTTGTATACACATAGTCAGAAATAACGACAATTGATTATTGGTCACTCTCTGTAATTTCTATGGCGAGGATATGAGAAAAATTAGGATTAAAATTAAAAAAAAAATAAAAATAAAAATGAAAGGTGAACAAAAAAGAACAAGATTAATTTTACAGAAATGTTATAACTAATTAATTAATTAATTATTAGCTATAAATTAATGATATTCTGGTACGGAATCATAATTATACGGAGGTTGATCACTACGATTCTCTGGAATTCTATACTTCTCTTCAACTTCATTGTCGTCTTCATACTTTACTTGAGCAAAGTAAGGTGTCGTAGATGAGTAAGTATTATTATACTCCGGATAATCTGTAATTAAATGAATAAAAAATTAATAAATTAATTGCAATAAATATAATAATAAAAATTATTTAAAAAAATATTTACCGTCAATAGGTTCTTCTTTGACACGAATTTCTTTAGTGTCTTCATCAGGAACGCGTTCGCGGTCCTTACGATCCCGGCGTTCGCGATCACGCTTTTCTCTCTTACGTTCACGATCACGATCGCGATCGCTGCGATCGTTGCTTCGCGATCGTCTGCGCTTACGGTCTCTGTCACGGTCCGAACGATCTCTATCACGCTCACGTCGATCGCGAGTCCGCTCTTCTCTCTGTATTTCCTCGACCTCTGGCTCGGCGGCGCGGTCGCGACTACGTCTACGTTTACGCTCGCGAGATCTACTACGCGATCTTCGTTTACGTTCACGCGATCTTCGACGTTCTCTGTCCATACGGTCACGATCACTGAAACAGATAAAATATAACAAATTAAATTTAACACTTTTAATTAATATAAACTAGCAACTTTGCAGTCACTATTCACTGCCGTGACTTGTGAAATATAAATAAATAAAAGTTTGCTTTATTAAATAATGACTTTTTTAAATTGTACTGTACTTTTTTAAATATTGACGTTTTTAAAGATATAAGCTCATCCCGATGTTACACTCATCAAGAGCTTTCATTTGAGTACCCACATGCATTTTTGATATATTTTTCATACATACATATATGTAATATATATATATATATATATAAATATGTAAAATATATGAAAAATTGATGTGGGTATTCAAATGAAAGGTCTCGATGAGTGGAACATCGGGGTGAGCTTATATCTTTAAAAGTATCATTAGTTGACAAGATACAAGGTCATTTATTAATTATTGATATTTTTAAAGATATAAGCTCATCCCAATGTAACACTCATCAAGAGCTTTCATTTGAGTACCCACATCAATTTTTCATATATTTATATATATTACATATATGTATATATGAAAAATATATCAAAAATTGATGTGGGTACTCAAATGAAAGGTCTTGATGAGTGTAACATCGGGATGAGCTTATATCTTTAATAATGTCAATAGTTCACAAGATTGAAGGCCATTTCTTATTTATATATCTACAGATATAGCCTTAATACTTATGACAAAATTTTTCTTATTCTCTTAATAATATAGATAAATAAATAAATTACCGATCACGGTCAAGTCCACGACCAGATGCTTCTCGCTCTCGTTCCAATCGGTATCGCTCACGTTCCCTTTCGTTATCCTCCCTACCAGAGTGCTTGATATTGACATCAGGACCTCCTCTACGTGTACCACCAAGACCACCACCAAGTCTACGTGGTAGCCATCCTTTAACCGTTCTTGCACGTTCAACATCCACCAACACTCTGCGGCCATCTATTTTCTTACCATCCGCATGTTTATACGCAGCTAAAATTATTCAATTAACAAATAAATAAATTTGCTTGCAGCAAGTACCACCTAATCATAAATTTATAAATTTATATAAATCATCATAATTTATAAATTTATATATTTATTTAGAATTTTAAAAACAACAATATTAATATAATATAACATCAGAGGAACGAGGTTCACGTTCTTTATTATTCGCGCCAATGACTTACTACACTGGGCGTATTAATTATAAATAATAAAAAAAAAAAATTACCGCGGTGTGTATTGATGATACTGTAAATGTACACCTTTTGAAAAATTACCATTAAATGAAGAAACCTAACAGATAATATTTATTTATTTATTTACTTATTACGACACGGTATTACGCTGGTAGGCTGTCATCTTACCCAATGACTGCACTTTATTAAAAATCATTTTTTTCACACTAACACTCAGCTATCAGTTACATATTATTTATCGTTGTATTTATTTTAATTAATAATTTTTTTAATTAAACATTAAATCCTCTGAAGATTATTTGTTTGATTAATAATTATTAAATAAATTTTTTTTTTTTTTTTTTTTTTTTTTGATAAGTAATCAGTAATCGAAGGCTGAGAAATAAGTGCAGGTATATTGAATTATTTTGTGAGAATAATTATATCAGAGATACAAAATATACCTACCGCGACTACTTACGTACGGAAGTTAACACAAAGCTTATGCTTAGAGGAACTTTTTAATCATGAAATGCAACAACTTGTAAGTAACTCGCGATCAGAGGATAGAGTAGACCATCGCGTACTATTTCATTGGTAAGTTGCCCCAAAGACTTCTTCATATGTTCAATCTCCATACATCATAGATAGTTTCATAGTATTTATAGATTTATTACCTGGTGCGCTTTTGTTTTACTCATACTTTATTTACATTTAATTATACTTGTTTACTTACGACTTACTAAACCACCGTGCGCATATTGTATTGTTTTTAATGATTTTAATTCTATTTATTTAATATATTAAATCAATTTCTAAATTTAAGTCGATACTTTAACTAATTTGTGATAAATAATATTTAAAGAATAATTATTAATTTTAAATAAATAAATAATGATTCTAAAAATTAATCATTTGCTCATTGATTCATTCAAAACATTCACACTTTGTTAATTTTAGAAAATTATACTCGTCAAACCGATTTTATTTTATTAAATTGCGATAAATTAGTATTCTAAATCGAAATTGATGTAAAAGGACTTGTACTGTTTAGTAATTTCATTTAATTAACTCGATTAATTACTAGATAATATCATTACTTTGAAAACAAGTTAAGCGAATGCACGTTAATCTGGGTTAATAAGAGCGATTTTTTTTTTTTTAATTATCGATTACTCTACTCACCTATTGTTTGAGTATCGAGTGAATTAATGGAAGAATTTTATTAGTCAATAGATTGAGTGTCGTTTTGATGGTGTGTTAATTATTTAATGGAGTCTAATAGTGTTTTTATATTTTTTTTTTAACTCTGAGGACAATTTTAAAATAATTTAAAAAATAAAAATTACCGTGAATTTAAAACGATGATTAATAACAAACAGATTTTTATAAAAAAATAGGCTAATTATTTACAAGTGGGGTCAACCCATGCTAGCCCATATTAAATTTTTTTTTTGATCAAATTGATCAATTTTTTTTTTAATTATTCGTTTTTTTTTAAGTACTTTAAAAAAAAAAATAAAAAATATATATACCACTATTTTAATTTTCATTTTTTTGAACGAAATTTCTACTTGATTTTATTGATATTTTTTTTGAAAAATAGATAAAAAAAAATGAATTAAAAAAACAAAAGTTGATTATCACAATTTTAACAAATTTTTTAGAAAATTGTAACATTCAACTTTTTTTTTTAATTGTTCATTTTTTTATGTACTTTTCAAAAATATAAATCAAAAAAAGATGTAAATTTTATCCAAAAATATGAGCCAAAATTTTTTCCAACTTTTAAATGCAAAAGAATTATCAAAATCTTTATTTTAACTTTCACGAAATTTTTTATCATAAATGCACCGTAAAAATGGGCAGAATAAAAAAAATTTTTAAATGTTTATTTTTCACCTAAATATGGCCAAAAATGAGGTTGGCCCTACTTGTAAATAATTACCAAAAATATTTAAGTAATAAAAGTTTCCATAGCCGGATTCCCTGAACCTCTTGATTTTCCACGAAGCCCAATCAATTTCAAAATAGAATGCTAAAATATTTTTTTTAAATCGCGTAATGCGTCAAAAAGTATAAAAAAAATAGATAAAAAATAAGTCCGTATTGTCTAGTCTCATTCAAACCGCAAGATAAAAAAAATAGATCTCATGATAAACCAGGGTGATTATTAAATAGACTCTAGCAACGTCGTTGTATGTTGGATCTTACCACACATACAAACCTATAATTTATCAGGCAGGTTCAGGGATTTTGCATGGAATAGTGAACGGCACTAGTTGCCGGCAGCGGCCGCCACGCTGTACCAAGAACAAGATAAAAACTCTGTATTAATCAAAAACAGCCAATAATGTCTTTGTAGTTTTTTTTTTAAATTCGTCAATTTACTATTCAAGAAATGGTTTACAGATAGATGTTTAATACCTGCATTAGACTTCTTTATCGCGCAATCCCCCGATTTTCATTTCAGTTATTTTTTTAAAAATAATAAACCCGCCCACCCTCGTTATCTAGCTCAGTGACGCTAAGACCGAGTTCCAATTAGGATCTATTAAACATTATCCAATTTATTTATTTGGAACTCATTATTCATTTGGATTGTTTACTTACAGTGCATGTCCCTTTCGTGTTCATACTCAATGAATGCGTACCCTCTTGGTTTTCCATTGACTGTGTTGTGGATAACAACGATCTAAATAAATAATTTAAAGAGTTAATTAGTTGATTCAATTTTTAATAAAATATTAAAAGTTTATACTCCAAAAAGTTTGCAAGGATTATTTTAACTATAAATAAATCAAATTTTGCTTTATTAAATATTGAATTTTGTTAAATTGTACTGTACTTTTTTAACTATTGACATTTTTAAAGATATAAGCTCATCCCGACGTTACACTCATCGAGAGCTCTCGTTTGAATACCCACATGCATTTTTGATATATTTTTCATATATACATATATGTAATATATATAAATATATGAAAAAATTGATGTTGGTACTCAAATGAAAGCTCTTGATGAGTGTAATGTCGGGGTGAGCTTATATCTTTAAAAATGTCAATATTTCACAAGATATTTGTTAAATTGGACTGTACTTTCTTAAATATTGATATTTTTAAAGATATAAGCTCATCCTGATGTTACACTTATCAAGAGCTTTCATTTAAGTACCCACATGCATTTTGATATATTTTTCATATATACATATATGTAATATATATAAAATATATGAAAAATTGATGTAGGTATTCAAATGAAAGGTCTTGATGAGTATAACATCGGAATGAGCTTATATCTTTAAAAATGTCATTATTTCACAAGATACAAGGTCATTTCTTAATTATATATCTAGAGATAGAGCATTTTCGAATGCAGCTTAAATACTTATCATCATTAATTAACTACTGGTGAGATTGATATGAAACCTTGAAAAGGCACAACTTCACAAAATTTTGCCTATTCTTTTAATAATATAGATTATTATTATTATTATTATTATTGTTTTTTGGAGTATTTCTCTTGTCAAATATTAATTATAATTCATACCTTCTTAACTGGCCCGTAAACTTCAAATTCTCTTCTAAGTTTTGATTCAGAGGTATCATAGTTCTAAAATAAAAATCAATTAATTACTCTAATAAATAAATAAAGAAATTAAATTAATAATAATTAATAAAAAAAGTAATTCATACAATTCGTGCAATAAATAAAGTTTTAAAAGGATCAGCAGTAACATTAGGAATAGCTGCTGGATCCCAGACCGCTATTTCTTGCTCAAGTTTATAAGCAACTTGTTCAGCACGTTCACGTCTCCGACGTTCTAGACGTTCTTCCCGTGTCTCAACTCTAAGCGGTGGTGGTGTATCTTTCGGGTCCTGTAAACAAATAAAATTTTATATCATCCTGCCATTTTCTAATTAACCTTATTAAGGTGTAATTGCGCGTGAGTGTAAAATGGAGTAGAATTAAGGTTAGCAAACCAACAATGAGTCACAATAACAAATGACGAGTTGTAAACTTACCTCAAAGTATTTGAGAAAATTTCCGACGCCGAGGTATCCTCCATTCTTTTTTTCATGCGGAAGTTTGCTAACTGGTGGTAAATATGGTATTGGATCACGCGGAGCAAATAGTGCTAATAAATTTGGTGGTAAAAATTGTGTCATTTTTTCTAGCTATAACCAACTTATTACTTCAAACAATAAAACACATTTTTATAAACTAATTACAATTTAAATAAAAAGATTCTCTTTTAGGTAAATACTTTGTGGAAATTAAAATAAAAACTTATGTGGAAACAGCAGCCAAGCCCCGTTGGTCGTGTGTCGTGTGTCCTCGTTGGCTTCTCTTTTTCTTCGTCAATTTTTCTAGACGGACTTGCGCAGTAGTTTTAGTTTTACCGCCACCTGGTGGAAAATTATTTCAAAAAATTCTAATGTCTGTCAACTTCAGTTCATTAATCCTCATGATTAATTTATTAAATACTAATCTAATTTTTTTTGTTTTTAAATATAATTTTAAAATTAATAGAATAATTTTAAAAAAATTAATTTTAAAAACTGAAACTTTTTTTTTTATAGTTAAATTTTTTTTAACGACAAAAGTTAGGTTTAATTAAAAAACCTAGGATCAAATTTTTCATCATTTTTAAAGATGATCGATATTTTCGCGTAGTAGTCGTCACATAACACGTCAATTTTAATTAAGTTTATAAGTACTGTATATTTTATTAATTTGAGGCCTTTGCGCAGTATTTGGCCTACACAATAGAAATAAAATAATAATAGATGCAATGATGCATGCTCATACTCTAGTGCATTATTACTTTTATTTACGTATTTAAATTTTATCATCTCGCGATAACTGCTGGGAAAAAATAATAAAATTAATTAAAGAGTAATATCTTATATATTTTTTAGCTTGACATTAATTAAAATTAATTACAAGGTATTTAGGCTGCATTTGAAAATTCTCTATCTCTAGATACATAATTAAGAAATGACCTTGTATCATGTGAACTATTGACATTTTTAAAGATATAAGCTCATCTCGATGTTACACTCATCGAGACCTTTCATTTGAGTACCCACATCAATTTTTCATATATTTATGTGTATTATATATATGTATATATGAAAAATATATCAAAATGCATGTGGGCACTCAAATGAAAGCTCTTGATGAGTGTAACATCGGGAGGAGCTTATATCTTAAAAAATGTCAATAGTTAAAAAAGTACCGGACATTTTAACAAATATTTGCTAACGAAAATTGACTTGTAGAAATTTTAAAAAGTTAAAAGTGCAATTTTTTAAAAATATTTTTTCAAAACAAATTTTTTTGTTGAAAAAAAATTAAAAAATGGTCAAGACTGGTAATTTTAGTATCATTGCTTTCAAGTAATTTAAAAATAAAAATACATTATATTGTCATTAAATGTCCAAATCATTATAATTCATGACAACATTTTTCTACCTGAGTATCTGGAATATTCCAATTGTTCCAAAACGTTCGGAATATCATTCTTAATGACCATTTAAATGAACAATAGATTTCGCTCAACAACTTATTACTCCCAGCTCGTCTAGACTACGAGACATTAGGATGAAAATAATGAATTCTTATTTTTAAGAAATTTTTAGTTCATTTTACATAATTCACTTTAAACCTTAAAATTTATGACTAAAAATTTTCCTGTTTTTGATAATTGAAATGAAACATAGAGAAGCTTACAGAGTATTATAATTATAATAAGTATTTATTTTAACTTACACTATTATAAATAATAGATTACTTATTTTGAATCCTTCACTGTAAAAAATTATGTAAAAAAACGAACCTCGAGAACACTACATGGTGTAAAATTTTTAATAGTCATCTGACCGAGCTATAAAGCTTTATTTAATTCCATAAATAAATAATTAAGAAATGAATTAAAAACACGAAGAATTTGGAGAAATATCGTAAGCATTCAAAAACGAGGAAACACATCTCTCTATCTACCGTCAGTAATTGTAAGAAAAGAAAAGAGTGGGAGAGAATAGGATCCATATAAATATGGACGTCGTAACTCAAATTCAACAGTATAGAGTGTTATTATATATAATAGCAATTTATGTCAACATTAATGAGAAACTTGAAGACGACGATTGTTTTCGGTGATATTAAGAAAGTTAAAAAATTATTAAAATCATTAGCGCCGATACCACTCAGTAAAAATCCTTTGATTTTCGGAGGATATAGTTTATTAAAACTAGCAATAAAACTGAGAAATCGTAAAGAGATTGTTAAATTGTTAATCAAGAAAGGTGCTCGAGTGAATAAAAAATATTGTGATAAATCATCTCCTCTTTTACACATCGCAATTAGGCAACAACACTTGGACATCGTCAAGTTGCTAGTCAAGAAAGGAGCTAATGTTAATGAACCAGATCATCATAACATGACGCCAATGTTTGTAACAATTGAATCTTTACAAATGTTAAGTAGAGAATCTCCAACAATAGACATCATGAAATTTCTTATAAGAAAGGGAGCAGATATACAAGCGAAAGATGAAGAAGGCTGCACAGCGTTGGCTTTATCCTGCGGTTTACATCAATTCAGAATGACCAGATTACTTCTGAAACTTAACTGCAACGTCAATTCCACGACAATCTTCGATTCAAATTCAATCTCCATCGCAGTTCTTACTAATTCATGGAAAGTAGCGAGCTTATTATTGAAGTACAACGCATGGGCAAATTCGACGATAAGTGACATGACAATTTCCTACTGCAGTGGTTATTATCGAGATTTACCAGCAAGAAGATTGAATTCTCTTGGTGAAAATCCGACATTGTTACATGCTGCGATAATTAACCACAACGTTGAAATGGTCAAGCTGTTAATAAACCACGGGCTGACATTCATTACAGGACTAAATCGTTCAAGAGAACTCCATTAATGCTGGCGATTGAAGAAATCTCTTCAGAAATAGTTCACCTGCTGTTGAAAAAAGGCGCTAGAATTGATGACCTCGACGAGGATGGTACATCACCATTATATTACCTTATTTGTAATCCAAATAACGTCAATTCTCGTCTGAATGTGGAGATGATTGAAAGATATCGCCAATCGAAGAAGTATATATTAATATACCTGATCAATGCTGGAGTTAATGTCAATGAAACATCAGAATCTGGTGGTACAAAACTGAAATTCCTGACGATGGCTCTCACCTATGGAGAAGAACATATAGTTAAGTATTTAGTAGAATGTTTTGATTTGGATTTCATGCTGGTTGATCATGAAATACTTGAAAAAGTTAAATTAAATACGACCTTGCTATCAGAAGAACAACTCGAGGATCAACAATTTATGAATAAATTAAAAAAAAGTATTCATGAGAATGGAGTATAACTTAATTGCCGGGCTATTGAGAAGAAACCAGGACTGTAAAAAGCTAGATGAAAAATTGAAGAGAACTATATTCTCAAAACCTGTCAATGATTTTTGGGGCCTTTCATATTATAAAAATACGGTTAAACATATAAGATACGATCTATATATGTGCATTAAAGCGATGAAAGAACACAGGATAGGAACTAGTACAATATCATTCTTTCATTTGTTGAAGGCTCCATGGAATCAATTGGTTAATCATGCCTACAATAAAGATGTCAGAGAATTGTGTTTCCTTGATTATGCTGTGAAATATCCTCTGTACATCGCTATGATTGCAAAACGCACCGAGGCTGCCGTCAAGAGAAGCAAGCTGCTGGAGAACTCTGAGGAAAAAATGTTTGTTTTGTTAAAATCGCTGCCATTTTTGTGTTGCCAAAAAATTTTAACTAATTTTAGTGATGATGATTTAAAAAGATTCAATACTCAATTTGAGAATATCGATGATTATGTCTCTGAGACTTAATAACTATTTTTTATTTTTAGTGCAATAATAACTGATTGATTAGTGATTACTATTTATATTTATTATTTATATGTCCAGACATTACTTAATTATTTTTGTTATAATTTTCTAGCTATAATTTATAATTTTTAAGTCATAATTTATAATTTAAAGATTACTAAATTAATTTATTGATGTGTATAATTAAGATAAATATTTAAATAAAATTACAAATTTATTTATTAGTAAAATAAATAAAACTCCACTTTCTTCATAAAATTTTAGCGTATTTCCTTGTTATTATATTTTGATAGCTGTTAAGAAGTACATAACAAAATATTTTTAATTCATATGCTTTTTTAATCATTGGTCTGTCCAAGATGATGAAAATTTAGTTACTACCATCGAAAATGTTGACTTTATCAAAATTTTTTTTATATAAACCTTCTCCGGACAATTTAGAAGACTGTTTTTTGAAATTTTGATAAATTCTGAATTTTTTTTATACGTCCTTTTGGCGTTAGTGCGTCAAAAATTTTTTTTTCTGCACATCTTTACGAAGACGAAAAAGATTGTAATTCCAATAAAAAAACAAAAAAATCAAAACAATAATGAATATAAAAAAAATAAGATTTATTTTTAACTTCACGCTAAGAAAATTGAAAATTTTCAAAAATCGGGAAGTTACTCTTTTCACCCCGTTTTTCGAAAATCGAGTTTTCATCAGATCTCGACGTTTTGAGGTCCTAGGATGCTTCTCTGACTAATCTCAAAAATAAAATTTTCAAAAAATCCTTTTTTTGGAATAACTTTTAAACGGCTTGACCGATCAATTTCAAAAACTAATCAGCTCTTAAGCTTAAAAAACCACGTCAATTGCCACCAGTCCCATCAAAATCGGTTAATTCGTTCGAGAGTTATTAAAAACGAAAAATTTCGAAAAAAGTGTTTTTTTACACCTTTTTATTAGCTTCACCTGTATGTATGTTTGCATGTTTGTATGTTTGTATGTTTGTAACCGACTTCTTTGGGCGCGATTTTGACCCACTTTAAACGGCCAGATTTCGTTCGTATGAAGTACTGCTCGAGTGGTACGAAAGATTTCATACTAACTTTACCATCTCCCTATACCACTACGTGTAAAAGATGCAATTTCAAAAATGAATTACTCAAAAACGGTGTGGTGAATTGATCTGAAATTTTGGTGGTGAATGATAAATATATTTATCTTTCGATAAAAAAAATTCCATAAGTTTCTTGAAATATGCTTTTCGTGGAGGTACTACCTTAATATCATAATGATATCATAATCAAATTGATAGAAATTTTCTTTCTCCAACAAAAAAAAATAATTTTATAATCTAGTTAAAAAAAAAATTTCTTCTCATAAATATTTTACTTATTACGGGTATCAAATGTACATTAATATGGCTTTTATATGAATCTATATGTATTTGTGCCAAAATATGAGATTCATTATGATGATATTCATCATGATATCAGATATCAGATTTTACTAAAATACATAAAATCCAAATGGACAAATACCGATGTTACCACTAGAACAAAAGCAAATTACCCTTATTTATTGATTCTTAAAAAACTAATTTTTAAAAGTACGCAACGCTAATAGCATTTTTAATATCATTAATATTTCAAATCATGTCACATTTTATCTTTCATCTTGTTATCTGTAAAATTTAAAATAATAAACACAAAAATTTATTTAAAAAGGTACAGTAAAAAATAATTATACTTAAAAATTTTTAAATCATGTTAATTTTTTTTTAATTAATCTAGCTCAGAAAAATTATCTAGGATTTATTATTTTTTAATCATACTAAAAATTATCTAGATAGTTGTATATACTTATACCTATACTTATACTATGTATGATAACATATTATTTATGAACGAGTTACAGGTCCGTAACAGTCAGTACCTCCCACAAGAATGGCGTATCAACAAATTACTCCAAAGTGTTTGTCACAGAATAATTCTATAAAAATGATATAAATCTTGCATTAAATTACTCCTAAAAAATAAATTACAAGTTAGTTAAGTAGTGACAACTAACATGACAGTGTAAATATTGACAATTGAATATTGACAATGAGTTCTCCGATGTCAGTAAGTAGTGCTAGCTCTTCGACGGCACCAGGTATGGAAACGGTGGTAGCTGTTGCACTAGGTGCATTAGCAGCAGTATTTCTCGGTGCTTTATTTGTTTTACTGGTTATATGTCGCCGTCAACGTTGTTACTATGTAAGTAACTATTTATTTTATTTATCCTTAGAAATGTTAATTGACAATCACAGTGATTGACGTTAATTGGTAAAATTGCAGAAACAGAAAGACGCAGATTTGAACTCTGACTTGTTGGAGGTCGACAATGGATGTACTTTGGGTCTTGATGCCTGGGAAGGAGAAGAATGGCTAGCTGGTGCTGAAAGGTATCATTTGTAATCATAATTGTTTGAGATTCAAATTCTCTATTTCTAAATACACAATTAAGAAATGCCCTTGTATCTTGTGAACTATTGACATTTTTAAAGATAATAAGCTCATCCCGATGTTACACTCATCGAGACCTTTCATTTGAGTACCCACATCAATTTTTCATATATTTTATATATTTATATATTTCACAAATACCATATATATATATATATATAAAATATATAAAAAATGCCATGTGGGTACTCAAATGAAAGGTCTCGGTTATTGTAATATCGGGATGAGCTTATATCTTTAAAAATATCAATAATTAAGAACTGACATTGCTATCTCGTTAACTAATGACATTTTTAAAGATATAAGCTCATTCCGATGTTACATTCATTCAGACCTTTCATTTGAGTACCCACATCAATTTTTCATATATTTTATATATTTATATATATTACATATATGTATATATGAAAAATATATCAAAAATGCATGTGGGTACTCAAATGAAAGCTCTTGATGAGTATAACATCAGGATGAGTTTATATCTTTAAAAACGCCAATAGTTCAGAAAGTACAGTGCAATTTAACAAAATTCATTATTTAATAAAGCAAAATTGTATTTCTTATAGTTCACAAGTCACGGTAGTGACATAGTGACTAGTAATTATTAATTTATCACTTACAGGTGGGTTGACGATGCTACTGGACTAGCTCCACCTTGTATTGCTGTATTACGGTCATGTCATTCACTTGCTGCGAGTCTTACAGCTATTGCTGGTACTGTTAACAGCAATACTGTGCCCTTAGAAATTGTCGATGTTAGTAAACAATTATTAATTTATCTATTCTCACATTTTTCTATTAATTACTGTCAATTTGATGTTAAAGGTTGCAAGAAGAATACCACCGCGAGTCGACGACGTTGTTCGGAGTTTGTATCCCCCATTAGACGCCAGACTCCTAGAAGCACGCGTCGCAGCTCTGGTACTTGCAGTAACTCATCTTGCTCTAGTTACCAAACACGGTGTACCTAAAAACCAAGCCAGAAAATTAGCATTCATTGATCAAGCTTTACAAGATATGGATACTCATCTTCTGGTTCTGAGAAATGCTGCACTAGCTCAAGAGAGCACTAGTTCCATTCCAGTGTCTACACCCGTTTGATTATATACATTTTAATATTGATATATATATTATATATTTTACATTAACACAGTATTCAAAGTTATATATTTTTTTATTCGTTGGTTAACGAATCGATTAAAAAAATTGATACAGAACAAAATAGTGATTGACAAATTGTATATATACATATATTTATGTTTTTTAATTAAATATATTTAACAGATTTTCTAAGATTTTTATAGACTAAGGTATTAAAATAAAATAGTCTTCCATTAAAAATGTTGATAATAAATAAAATACAATATTTGAATCCCTCCAGCGTTATTTTATTTTAATTTACATCAATTAAAAATTTAAAGTCATTAAATATTAATTTGTTATCGCTTCAATTGCAATAACTTATTTTTTTTTTATTTTGTTTCCCGTGACAAGCATTAATTTTAATTTCATTGAGCTAATTTATTTTTATTTTTATTAATAATTTAATTAACAAACATGTTGGGTGGTTTTAATTGATTGAATTTATCGTTTAAATAAATTATCTAAGTCAATTGACACGATTATTGACACTACATAGTAGCGTATACGATGACAATGACGAGATTTAATACTTAAATTGTCGTTATTAATATTATTCTACTCTCTATACCGAAAGTACAATAATATTTATTATTATTATAAGTAATTGTAATTAATATCTGAATAATAACACGATGGAATAGAATAATTAAATCGAATTTTAACAGAGAGGAGAATCAGATCAAAATTATTTTATCTTGAACTTATAGACAGTATGTTTTATTATTTTCCACGATTCAATAATTCCTTAGCTCGCGTTTGATTATCCTTCAGTACTTTATTCTTAAGATGCTCCTTGTAATGCAAAATTCCACCTTGCCATTTAGTCACTGCTCCATTTTCACACACCCAAATTTCTTCAGCAACTTGATTAATAAGTCTAAAGTCGTGAGAAACTAAAACCATTCCACCGTCAAAATCAGCGATCGCTTCTGCAAGCGCATCAATTGTTTCCATGTCCAAGTGATTGGTAGGTTCGTCGAACAATAATAAATGCGGTACTTGCCATGCTAACCAAGCAAATACTACACGACAACGCTGACCATCTGACAATTGTCTAATTGGGCATACCTGTACAAAAAATTTAAATTAATTTTTCAATACTCGTAAATTTAATTCTAAAAATTTGGTTAATAAATTTACCTGTTGGCGACCAGTCAAACCATAACGACCAATTATTTTACGCATTTCTTCACGTTCCTTAACTTCTGGAAATGATTTAAGCATGTAATCCAGCGGTGACATGTCTAAATCTAATAACTCATGCAAATGTTGATGGTATCTAGCGATACGTAAATGACTGTTTTTTCTAATCATTCCAGTGGTTGGTACCAGCTGTAAAAAATAAAGCAAAAAATTATTGAAACTGTATTATTTAATTACTATGAATATCAATATAATAAAAATAAAAGGTAATTATGCAGAAGTAGGGCTCGTATCTCGCGAATTATTGACATTTTTGAAGATATAAGCTCATCCCGATGTTACACTCATCAAGACCTTTCATTTGAGTACCCACATCAACTTTTCATATATATATATGAAAAATATATCAAAAATGCATGTGGGTACTCAAATGAAAGCTCTTGATGAATGTAGCATCGAGATGAGTTTATATCTTTGAAATATATATTGTATATATGTATATATGAAAAATATATCAAAAACGCATATGGGTACTCAAATGAAAGCTCTTGATGAGTGTAACATCGGAATGAGCTTATATCTTTAAAAATGTCAATAATTAAAAAAGTACAATGCAATTTAACAAAAGTCATTATTAAATAAAGCAAAATTTTGTTTATGTATAGTTTACAATTCTTGATTATAGTGATTTTTTTCATTTGAAGTTCAAAAATTTACGATTTTAGGTGTTTTTTCAGTGAAATATTTTTTTTTTTTCTTGAAGAGCGATAAAAATAAAATAAATTAGAAAAAAAATTCAGAATATCATAATTTGAAAATTTTTTAATTTCAAATGAAAAAAAATCACCAAAATATTCAATTTTTATCATAAACCCGCCGTAAAGAACGCCGTAAAGAACAATTAAAAAATAAATCAACTTTTTGATTTTTTATTTTATTTCAATTTTATCTAAAATAAGTGGACCCCCACTTGTGCATAATTACCAAATAAAATGAAAATAACTTACATCTCCATAAAGTAGTTTGAGTAATGTACTCTTACCAGCACCATTAGGACCAACAAGTGCCAGCCTGGTATCAAGATCAATACCAAACTCCAAGTTTTTATAAATCCACGGTGAGTCATCATTGTACCGGAAACTGACATTCTGTACCATGATAACAGGCGGTGGTATACCACCGCAAGATGGGAAATAAAAGTTCAATACTTTATCAGTGCTAACTTTTTCAGTGAGACCTTGAGCGACCATCTTAGCCAAAGTTTTTTCCTTAGATTGAGCTTGACGAGCAAGCTTAGCGGATCCGTGACCAAAACGCGCGATATAATTCTTCATGTGAGCTATTTGGTCTTGCTCCCACTGATATTGCTTAGATTGGTTCTCCAACAATTCAGCCCGGGTTTTAATAAATGCTTCATAATTACCGGTGTAGTATTTCAGAAGTTTCTTATTCAGATGAATAATATTCGTACAAACACCATTAAGAAAATCTTGAGAGTGTGATATTATAACAAGAATACGTTTGTAAGTCTTCAATTCCTCTTCGAGCCACACACAGGCGTCCAAATCCAAGTGATTGGTCGGTTCATCGAGCAGCAGCAGATGCGGCTTTACATAGAGAGCACGAGCCAGTGCGATTCGCATACGCCAACCTCCAGAAAAGTCTCTGGTGGCAGTGTTCTGCATTTTGGTGGTGAAACCAAGACCGTGGAGCAGATGAGCAGCTCGCGCTTCAGCAGTGTCTGCAGACATGTCATCAAGACGCTCATAAACGTCCATCAGCTGTTCCTGGGCGTCATCTTCTGGACAGTCAACCAGTTCCTCAGCTAATTTCTCTAAGCGCACTCGCTCCTCGTCTACTTCCATCACGCACTGCAGAGCTGTTTTGCTACTCGCCGGCATTTCACGGGACAAATGAAATATATCGATCGACTCTGGAATCGGCACTTCACGGTTACCGATCACTGAAAGCAGTGTCGACTTTCCGGATCCATTTTGGCCCAACAAACCGTATCGCCTTCCGCAGTTCAACTCAAGATTGGTATCTTGCAGAAGCTCGCATCCGTGAAATGTTATTGAAAAATTAGATACTTTTATATCACGACTCCGTGGATGCGACGCTAAACTTCCAGTACAGGCTCGAGCTTCAGCATTCAGACGTGCATCTGATTCTAATTTTAAGCATAACGCCTCTGAAATTTCAATTAATTATTGTTATAATTATCGATATTATTAAGAGAACAAGAAAAATTTCGTTTCCAAGATAGTTATAGTCATTGCAAAGGACTTGAATTTGTGCCTTTTCAAGGTTTCATTCTCACCGATATTCAATTTATGTGATAAGTATTTAGGCTGCATTCGGAAATATTCTATCTTTAGACGCATAATTAAGAAATGGCCTTGTATCTTGTGAACTATTGACATTTTCAAAGATATAAGCTCATCCCGACATTATACTTATCGAGAACTTTCATTTGAGTACCCACATCAATTTTTTTTATATATTTATATATATATTCATATATGAAAAATATATCAAAATGCATGTGGGTACTCAAATGAGAGGTCTTGATGAGTGTAACATCGGGATGAGCTTATACCTTCAAAGATGTCAATATTTAAGAAAGTACAGTGCAATTTAATAAATATCTTGTGAACTATTGATATTTTTAAAGATATAAGCTCACTCTGACATTACACTCATCTAGAGCTTTCATTTGAGTACTCACATCAATTTTTTCATATATTTATATATATCATATATATGTATATATGAAAAATATATAAAAATGCATGTGGGTAATCAAATCAAATGAAAGCTCTTGATGAGTGTAACATCGGGATGAGCTTATATCTTTATAAATGTCAGTAATTAAGAAATGACCTCGTATCTTGTGAACTATTGACATTTTTAAAGATATAAGCTCAT